TAATTCAGATACATTTTTTCTTTTTGCACCCAGCACCAATGGGCTTATAAGTCACTGTCTCATTAATGTTATTCTAATATATTAATGAACACGAAAATACATAGAAACAATAAATGATGTATAAATAAACGTATAAATAGCAATGGTGTGCGTTCAACTGATAGTTACTATAGAAATATAAAACATTAATTACATACAAGTATAAATAATAAAATGCATATACAAACTCGGACGTTACTCATTATAAATGAACTTTCCGTATCATATAGGCACGTTTTATATAATTACCATTTTTTATGTTTCTCCATTAAGTTTGCAAGCTTCTCTGGCAAATTTAAATTCAAAAAGTCTAAGTCAGTTGCCGTAATTTTTGTCAACATCTCTTCTCTTATGTTATCGTAGGCCGCACATTCTAAAATGTAATGCTTTTCGTCCTCTGCCTTTCCACACTCACACATCACACACACTCTTTCCTCCACTTTTTCTCTCACAAACCTGCCCGTTTCTATTCTAATCGGAAGTATACCAAATCTTAATTGTGCTACCAATGATCTAGGCATTTTATCAAATTCGTGGGTTACATAGTTCCCAACCTTGTATTTATTTTTAAATAGCATGTACAGGCCCGTAGCTAGGGGGGTTCGGGGGGTTCGAAAGAACCTCCCTTTTTGCTGGAAAAAGGTCCACTCTGGGTAAAATTTGACCTAGGTACATGGGGATGATATGGTAAAAGGTCCACTTTTTCAGAAAAAGAACCGCCCTTTTGAAATTGCTGGCTACGGGCCTGATGTAAGTTATGAGTTTACTGTATGAGGGCAAATCTCTCTCCCATTCACTCGACACTAGATCTCTCAAGCGTACTGCACATCTATCCACATCCACTAACTCCATGCAACTCGAATGCATCTCGATCCTATTTCAGCCAGCAATCGAACTACACTCGTACGCGGCTGTTTCACGATCAGGGGTACAAAATAGGGGTCACATTGAGAGAAAAATGAACTCTGATGCATTTGTTTAATTTTGTAACAGATAAAAATAATAACATCTTAACTATGATATCTACAATTTTTAGAGCACAAGATTAATTACTTTTTGTGCTACGCTCAAATTAACAGAACGCCCCTTAGACTATGATCTGGGGGTACGGACACTAAACATTCAAGTAACTGATGCTTTTGTAACTGAAATATCATATTGATAACCACTTATTTTTGTCAAAAGTCTAAAAAATGTCAAACTAAAGATATAACAGCAGTACTTTAACCAAAAGGATACAAGTGCATGTATTAGTCAAAGAGTTTTTTAGAGAAACACCACAGCACGTTTTCAGTGGATGCTGGAGCTTGGTTGTGTGTCATTCAGTGTGACTTTCATTCACCAGACTTTAATTTTAACTTTTCTTTCTGCTGCTGGACCTTTTTTATCTATTCATTTTTTTTTTTTTTTTTGTTTCAGTCTTGATTCCTGTTTTTGGAGTCTTTTCTTCTTTTTCATCTCTCGTTAATTTGCACCTCTTGTTCTACTTTTTTTCAGGATTGTTGGGTTTCTGCTTCTCCTTAACTCAATGTCAGTATGCCCTAATTTCTTCTCTTTACTTTAGTCTTTCTTGCTGGGCCAGCCTAGGATGATTCTTCTTTTTTTTTTTTTTTTTGCTTCTATGCTATGTTACGTGCATCTAACGTCTTCCTTACGTGCTTCAGCAAGATTGTTAGCATCTTTACGGACATTAGCTTTTGACGTCTTTTTTTTCAAAATTATTTTTTGCTGACAGTAAAATATTCAGGATCCCTTTTTTTCCTGTTTGGCTTTTTGTTTATTGTCATCCATATTTGATACTTCATTTACTGATAATAGTATAATAAATGTACTGTTAATTATTCATGTATTGAAGTGTTCGTACCCCCTCAAAATATATCATATACATTAATCCATAGAATATTAATCCATAAACAATTTATTATTTTGCAATTAGCTATATTTGGCAATATATTCAAACCAATATTGTTCATTTTGAATGCAAAGAGTAGCATCTTTACTGATATTATTTCTTTGCAAAATCTCTTGCCTGACTCTAATTAATCAGCATCACTTTATCGAATATATATTTATATACAATGTTTTTTCTAAACATCATAAGACAAGTATGCATTTTATATAGTCTAAAACAATCTTTTGTATCATATTTTGAAGTTTTATCATCATTGATATGTAGCCAGTTATCCAATGGTTAATGTATAACTTGGGGGTACGGACACTACAGTAGGAGCACGGACACTACATTTGGCACCAAATGTGTGCATATCTTTTCATAATAAGGGGTTATGTGCTATTTTCTTCCTGCAAAATAAATGTCAGTGTAGATATTATAGAATAATAAAATCAGACAGAATATGCTGTGATTCCTAAATAAAATAGATAGGGGGGTACGGACACTACAAAAAGTAGGAGACACCAAGGGGCTCATGATTATAAATACCATAGCATTAATAATAATGGTTACATATGCACAACTCCTTT